CAACTCTCAACTGGTCCTCGTAGGGGAGATGCTCCAGCCCCTGATCATCTTCATGGCCCTACTCTGGACCTGCTCCAACAGCTCCATGACCTTCTTACACTGGGGGCCCCGGAACTGGATGCAGCACTGCAGGTGGGGTCTCACCAGAGCAGAGTAGAGGGGCAGAATCACCTTCCTCGCTCTACTGGCCACACTTCTCTTGATGCAGCCCAGGATGTGGTTGGCCTTCTGGGCTGTAAGTGCAAACTGCTGGCTCATGTTGAGTTTTCATTGACTGACAACCCCAAGTTGTTCTCCTCAGGACTGCTCTCAAATCATTCTCTGCCCACCTTGTATTTGTGCTTGGGATTGCCCCAGGACCTTGCACTTGGCCTTGTTGAACTTCATGAGGTTGGTGTGGGCCCACCTCTCCAGCCTGTCCAGGTCCCTCTGGATGGATCCCTTCCTTCCAGGGTGTCACTGCACCACCCAGCTTGGTGTCATCCACAAACTTGCTGAGGGTGCACTCGATCCCACTGTGCACATCACTGACAAAGATGTTAAACTGGTGCCAGCACTGATCCCTGGGGGACACCACTCATCACTGGTCTCCATTTGGACATTGAGCCGTTGAGCACAACTCTCTGAGTGCAACCACCCAGCCAATTCCTTATCCAGCGAGTGGTCCATCCATCAAATCCGCATTTCTCCATGACAGAGCCAGGGTGGGAGCGTTGTCTTTAGCCGTGCTCTTGTCACTGCCTGGGGCTGGACGTGGCTGGATCAGCTCTCCCGGCTTTCCTAACTCTTGCTCACAAGCCCACCACGCTCAGTGCGAGCCGTTCCCCTCATCCTCCAAAATTCTCGTGGGCACTGCCTTACTCTGGTGCACGAAACCTCTGGCCATGAGGAGGAGGGAGAAAAGATTTTCGTCTTTCATCAGGAGAAACTCCATGCCAGAGCAAGCCCACCTCTGCAAACCTGCATTAAATGTGTCTGGGACAAAGAAGCTCCTGTAAAAAGTGGAAGTTTCCACACCAAAATGTTTGGTTTTGATCGCTGCTAGGGGTTCCTTAAAGGCATATGCTTATCTCTAGTCCTTTTCAGCACGAAGACCAGACAATCTCTCAACTCTGAGTATGTCTCTATCTCCTCAACTGGTTTCCTTTCACTAACCAAGTTGTGTGTATGTTGGAACGAGCAGACTTGGAACATCTCATTGCTTTTACAGAGTATGTTTTGACAATTTGAAATGGATAAAACAGATTTTTATTAGGTGCAATGACAATGAGCGATGGCTCCTTTGGGGCTTTAAAGAAGGGGTGATTAAGCTTCTTAACACACAAGGTCACCTTGGAGGCCCTCTAGAAGCTAGAGACAGCTGACAATTTGTATTTACCTGCGATCAACGCAAATGTGCATGCATATAGCTGGGCTATTTGCTTGTGATTAAGCAACATCTTTGTTAGCAGGTGCATAAAAAGCACTGTTACCTTGAGGTTTAGTCATACTATGCACTGCAGGTTGGTTTTGTTACTGTTTACAGTCAGAAGTGTGGTCTGATCTCTCCGAGATCCCTTGTGCCACAGCCTTTGGGGTGTTGGACAGCCAGACGGGGCAGGAATTTGAGCGGCTCCTTCCTCTTACCGGAGCGGAGTTACCTCATGGCCGGGAGCGATGTTGTTTCTTCACTCAGATGGTTTTTGTCAGCTGCCTCCAGGGTCCTCTCTGGGGGTTTGCACAGGAGGGGCTGATGTAGGTGCCAAGGGAGGGGACAGCTTGCAGAGCAGCCCGGCCTTTCCTCCCCTTGCCTTTCATCACCTTGTGCCAGTTCTCTGCAGTGTGCTGGAGATAAAAGGCGATACTGGGAGGGCTGGAGGAAAAGCAGGAGATAGCGGAGAACTTGCCTTCCTCAGAGACCTTGCCCTGGAGGAGCACGGGTGCGGATGCTGCCCTTGGGCTCAGTGTTTGTTTTCCCACACGCCAGCCCCAGTTCCTATAGCCATCTGCAACTTCTCCAGTCATAAAACTTGAAAAACAGCAATACAATTCATCACACTTAATAATTGTGAGCAGAATTCGCTTAGCAAACTTCAGCGAGGTGTCCTCCCGTGTGCCAGGATTATCTCGCTGCTGTGAACTTTGGGCTGTGCTTGCAGATCGTCTGCTCTCGTCCCATGGACTGCCTGGCCATCAGCTCTGCAATGCTTCTGCGGAGTCCTTATGCCAGGGAGCATCGTGCCTCGTGTTACTCGCTCAGTGACTTCCGTACCTCACCTTGCAGTCTGTGCCCAGAATAAACTGCTGTGACAAGCTACAAGTCCAAGCCCCTTGAGTAGTTTTAGAGGAGCAGCGGATCTGAGCCTGGTGGTGAAGCACATCCCAGCTGTGCTGCACATAGAAATGCTGGTGCAAACACTAAATCTGTATTTGTCTGGACCTCGCTTCAGCTTTGCATCTGTGAGTTGAAGTATCTTGGGCAGCAGTTTGCATGCCGAGAGGCTGCTCAGAGCCTGGCCAGCGCGTCCCAAAGGGCAGTGAGCTGTGCGCCCAGTGCTGCCCCGCAGGGTTGGGCTCTCAGAGCTGGGGCCACTGCTGACCACTGTGGTAGATTTGACTGGCCAAATACATCTCGGCAAAGCAGCCCGTTAGCTGCTGCCCTTGTATGAATGCGTGCAGAATTTGGCACCTGTGTATTTATGCTCACTTCTTTCCAGGGCAGACTGCAAATATGCACTTGGTTGAAACCAATCTGCTAATTTTTGAACTGCCTGGAGCTACAATTCACAATGGGTGGCAGATGCTTGTGGTTGCAGGCTCTGAACATCTGGGATAAGCTATCAATTCCTCTGACACAGGAACCCACATTCTCTTTGAAGAAGCTCTTTAAACCTTTTTCTTGCTCAGCTTGTCAGATAAAGCAAGCCATTAGTGTCCGTTCAGTGCCGTTTGCTCTTTTAAATGAAGTAACTTAGAGGAAGATTTACTGGATATGACTGGGGGTGGGAGGGGGAGGTCACAGTGCCAGATGCTGGTGCCTTTATGCCGTTTATGAGTTAGGGGGATGCGGTGTATCCATGCATGCAGGTTGGCACACACGCGTGCCCCGTACTCCTTGTAGTATAGGTGTTGTGTATCTGCATACACACGGCTCCCAAAAGAAAGCTGCACAGCACCTTGGAGGGGAGATAGGAGGAAATTCCATCCTTAGGTGGAATCTTAATATATCTTAAATATATATCTTAATATATTTATGGAAGTAAGGTTGTTTGCAAGCCTTTAAAAATGGGTTGATTCCCGGTGCTGGATAGCTCGGCAGCAACAGATCAAAGTCCTGGTGTAGTTGAAAAGATTTGCTATCTTTCAGTGTCACGATCTCTAATTTGTTTAGATGCATACGAAGGATCAGAAGCTGATGTGCAGCTGGGGATTAAGGCAGCTTTGCTGTCCGATCTGAAAGCCAGCATATTCTGAAAGATTTCAAAGTCTCGGAAGGCAGTGAAGTGCTTTACTGATTTTCATGTCTTTGAAAATCTCTATTTAGTGTGCCTGGTGGAATTATAGAAATACATGCTGCCAGCTGTCTGACACCAGCAGATACTACCCAGAGCATTTAAGTACTGAAGCGATAGGCCTGTGAAGATAGAGACATTGCTCTCGCTGTGCGAGCACCCATGCAAAAAGACGTTTTAATTCACGTGACTCTTGCTGCTTTAAAAGTTCGCTGTAATTTTTCCCCTCCCACCTCTCCCACCCTAGGAGTGTAAGAAAAATAAGATGTGTTTTCATTATACATCTCTAGAAGGGAGTTGCCGTCGTTATATGAATTTTCATGCGGCAAGAAGAAAAGCAGCGGTCTGCGCTCTTCCTTGGCAGCCTCAGCCTATACCTGGGGATCTGTTAACCAGGGAGGGGACGGACGTACTCTAAAGGTTAAGATGAAAGCCAAATAAACCAGCAAACCCATTCCCTCACTGACTGCACTGCTCTTCAGCTGCAGTCCCGCATTGCACACATTGCTTGGGTGAAGCCTTGGGTCCAGGGGTCCAAGCAAGAAGTTGCTGTAGGGCAGCCCGGGATGAGGGGAGCCCCTAAAACAGGAAGTTTTATTTGTTGAGTGCTTCAGGTTTTGGGTCTTGCTGGTGCTGGGCCCTGCTGTTTTAAACACAGTGATTCCTGAGTCAAATGAGATGTTTCGTCTCATCTCCTTGGCCCTGGACCATATCTGTGGTCCATCTTGGTGTGTTCCCGGTGTCCCTGCCACCCACCTCTATGGGATGTGTGTATGCCTTATTCCAGGTACCACCTAGTACAGCGTATGCAAAAGGACATCCACCTTTTCCTAAGCATCACGTTAATTTGCTACATCTAATCAGCTGATTTGGAGCTCTCTCTTTCTATAATTTCATAGTATTTCCTATTGAACCTGCTTTTTTTGTTTGGTGCACTACAGCCAATGCAGATGCTGTAAAGTATTGCACCTCTTGGGTGTCTTCATTGAGACCAAAACTTTCACTCATTTATTTTGGTTACTGTTTAGCTTGGTTTGCAGATGTTTCACTGCCTCTGCTCTGTGCTCGTGGTGTTTCAGATGTTGCGATATCTGCTCTCATGCATGGGGATGGGGATTATTTATGTTCCATTTAGCTTTGCAATTAGGCCCTATCTATTTTTAGTCTAGCTGCAAGACATCAAGCCTTTTTCCTGCTTGTTTCTTTGGAGTGAGCTTGATGAGCTAAATAGTTTAGTTTTTGTAGAGGAAAAGCAGTAATGAGATGAAAGCTGTTTAAGAATAAGCAGTTGAACCAAAAAGTAAAATGAAAAAAAACCCAGGGAGATTCACTCGCCTAAAACCTTTATTTTTTTGAGATTAGACTTCCAGATTAGATTGGAAGATGTTTCAACAGGCAGATTTTTCTGAAAACATGGTTGTTGTTGTTGTCTCCACTGGTCTCTGTGTTTTGTTACCTTCTTCATGAGTGGAAGATAAATTTTTCTTTTCTTCTTTTTCCCCTGGATAGGAAAGAATGCATTTTCACCATCGACCCGTCAACTGCCAAAGATCTTGATGATGCTTTGTCCTGTAAACAACTCCCTGACGGTATGAGACATATTTTACAAAGAACTGCTCACTGTTTACATTCAGCTGTTGACACGTTCGTATATATAATTTGTCGTGAAGTATTCTTTACCAAATATGAGTAGAGTAATAAACTCATATTTCTCTTGTTGTTCTAGTTGCCTGCTTGCAGAAACCTCAGAGCATTCTGAATTAGTTTTGGTGTCAGGAAATGCAGAGCCATCGTGTTTGCATGATCAGAGCTGTAATTTGGTTTGAGCACGTCTCGACTGTCTCCTGTCATTACGGGGGTTACAGCTGGAGAGCTGATGTGCCACTCGCACAGACCAAAGTCCGGTGAGACTTTGACCTTGAGGACGCAGTCCCTCGATAAAGGAATCCAGTTCTTTTCTGTTTACAGGATGCTGGGAATTGTCAGATGGGCAGTGTGTGCCTTATAAGCTGTATTATTCTGCTCCTTGCGTGTTAAGCTCTGCCTTATTTGTACTTTGACTTTGCTGTAAGCCAGCAGAACAGAAAGCAAAGCTCCAGAAGCCAAATCTTGATGATTCTGACTTAAGGAACTTCCCAGTTGTGAGCTTACTTTGCCATCCAAATTCTGCTCACTTAATTTGATGAGATCCAGCAACAGGCTTGGTTTCCAAATATTACATGATTTGATTAGCCCATCTGCCACCAGTAAAGAAGATAAAGTGATTTTTTTGGTGTGTGTTTATTTTTTCTTGCTCTCTTTAATCATCGCAATGTGGTGCTATCGAAGACGTCATTCCCTGTTTTTTGGGTTGATTTCATTCTGTGCAATGTGGCAAATGAATTGCCATGTCATTTAGATCCAGGTACAGAATAGCATTACAGGGTTATAAAACTGATTAAAAAGATCAGAGATGAAAGAAAATGTCAGGCAAATAAAATTATTTCTAATTATACTGTACAATAGCAGTTTTGAGGCAAGATTAGGGAAAAATTGCTGTTCTCTTTAGAAGAAAATTGAAACAGTCTTCTTGAGAGATCCTAAGCTAAACTCTGTTCTCCTTCTTTCCACTTTGTCATCTGAATTATCTGTAGATTTACAACAGTTTTGTCATCCCACAGCCCCTCAGATATGAGGTGTTGAAATTCTGGCTTTCGAGCCGTTACTGCTCACATACACGTGGGTTTTAGATGCTGCATGAAACCATTCCCTCAGCTGGTTTGTGCTGCATGCATCTGCATTTTTCTCTTATCCATAAGACACTTGGAGAAAGTATTTTTGAAGCATCTATTTGAACAAGAATTCTTCTTTTTGAGGAAGCCGTTGCAGGGCTGTCGCTCACACTGGGCACTTGTTGATAAACCTGCTGATGGGGGATGTGGCAGCACTGAAGTCAACCTTGTCTTTCTGACCCCAACTGCAGAAAATGCTGTATGAGGCCACTTGCTGCAGCCTCTGAGGAAGGAGCTGTGCCATTACAGAAGGGTCCTCTGCCCCTTTCTAAGGTGTTACCTCAGAGATACAGCAGCAGGGCTCGTTGCCCAAAAGACAAGGTGCCAGATCCTCAGCCAGGGTATGAGCATCACAGAGTCTCTGTTCCTAGCAGGAGAAAGTAGCAGAAATGCGTGTATTTATGTTATCTGACATGTACTCTTCACTGCAGTCCTTATTTTGGATCCTGATGGAGAATTAGCGTTTTTAGAGCTAGTTCATTAGCACCAACCTGTTCCTGGATGGGACTGGGATGACTCCAGAGCTTCCAGCACTGGGGACTTCAGCCCTCAGCCCTGTCCTTTGCAGGAGATGTCCAGATCCATCTTGTGTCATAAGTTACTGGGACATTTTTTTGCATGCAAACCGAATCTCTGTGGATTTTGTTACCTTTTTGTGCACACTGTGAGCTGATAGCCTTACTCAGAGATGTTCAGACTGTGATCCACTGACTGCTATAGCACTATACAGATCACTATTACAGGCCTGTGAAATGTGGCTGGCAAAAGCAGGGGTATAAAGCCATCAGGAGATGTGACATTTTTCAAAGTGTCTGTATTTGACTTAAAATTTTTCATGAATTTGCAAATTTAGAAAGGTCCAGAACAATTGCAGGGAGATCTTTGGGTTCACTTTGTTGTGTTCACTTGCTTGCAAAGCTACGGCCGTTCCCAACTCTTCAGTGTTAAGGAAAGTCCCCATGGGAACCTCAATCTTGTGCTTAGTAGAGCTTCTTGATGTGTTCTGGAGGTACCCTGAGGATTTTTGGCTTTAAAAGTTGCTATGCTAGCTGCAGTTACTATGACAAAGAGTTGTTTTAGAGGTTAAGAGCTTATCTGGGGCTGGCAAGGCTGCATCTCTCACGAGGGCAAGGTTGTGTTAAGAGTTAACGCTGCTTTTATTCCAAATGTAAACGTGGTTAAAAGAACTTATTTTTTCCATCTTTTTTGCCCATATGTGAAACACTTGAGAAAAAGAAAGAAACACCAAAAAAAACCCAACATGAGCAAACCACATATCTGGCATCCTCATGATGTCAGGAGACCTCCAAAAAACAGCAGAACCCAATTCAGAAAATGTCTCTGGTGGTGTATAGCACCCATAATAATGATGAGAAAAAAGAAGCCACTCATTGCCTGCACTTCTTCTATCAGCCAGCAAAATCAGTGCATTTCAGAAGATTTTGAAGAATGAAATGGTCTTTGTCCTCAAGCGTTTGCTGCTGATTTATTCAAGAGTGAGGCATTTTCTTTGCCTTGAAGGATCTTAGGCAACAGGCAGAGAGATAAGGGACAGTTTTTGCACCTTTGCTTAGTTTTGAAGCTTTGCAGTGTCATCATTATCAGTTCCAGTCACTGGGTGGAAGACTCACCCATGCTACATCCTCAGTAAAATGCAGAAAGGAGTTTATTTTTTGCAGAAGGAATCCACAAATCTATCACGAAGAACTGCCCGGTAGCAGAGTGTCACTAGCAAAGGAAGTATGGGCTGGTTGTGGGAATGGTTGTGTTTTTAATGGAGCTCGCAGTAGGATTTTGCAGCAGTTGGAAGCTTTTCAGGGATATACGTCTTAAGTGGGCCAGTCTGGTTTTGAGAGGATTTTATATTGGAGCCTGCTTTTGATTAAGAGTCGTGCTCCTCGTTATTGTTTAATGATAGCAGTAGGGAGGAAAGCTCGCCGCTCGCGTTTGCGAGTGCGTGTTTGAGAAGAGATCGGCTCCAAGAAAGAAGGAGAAGACGGTTATTTATGTAACAGCTTTAGAAAGATGAACGAAGTGTACTCCGTTTAGATGACTCAGCATAATCTTGGCGTAAAAGATGGGTCTGGACTGCACCTCGCTCCTGCAGCCTTTGTAGAGCTGTTTCAGGGTAGTTTGAGGTTTGAAGCGAGTTCATTTCAGTCTATGCTCTTTTGTGAGCCTTTCTGCACGTCTCCCAGCGAGCTCCTGCAGCCAGGAGCGTACAACAGAGCCGCTCTCCTTCTGTATGAACACTCACAGAAAGCAACTGCAACACTTTCAAGCCTGAATGTTTTCACCCGGGGTGCAGACAGTTTGGGATTTGGTCTGATCTCATAGTGAGGAGCTCGCCAGGTGACCCGTGTGTCCCAGTGGCACCGGGCAAGTTGCCCACACTCCCCAAACCTGATGCAAAGGAGGCAGCAAAATGCTTGGGGTGCGTTTCTGAGGGGTTGTCTCACTGGTTTGCAGGTCTTTTGATGCTGATTTCAGAGCAGTTCTTTGGGCCATGCTGACATCTTTTTGCGTGTACACTGATGACTGACGTGGCTCTCGCTCTTGTTTCATTCCTGCCGTCTTTCACAAAGTAATTCAATTGAAGTAATTTAAATCTGATTCGAGGAGGAATTGTGCTGCAGAACAGAAATATACTCTACAAGCGGTTTGCCCTGGTTTTTATGTCCTTAGTGACATTGGTTGTCTGCATTTTGGAGCGAGGTCATGTATAGTTACGTTTATTGAATCTTCCCAGCACTTACCTGATGCTGTAACAAATGAGATTTCTGCAGTGTGCTGCTGCCTGGCTTTTCCCTTCCCTTTAAATCTGTTCAACCTGTTGGTGAATTTAAATCAAATATACCTAAGGGAAATGTGATAAACCCCTCAAACACATTGTGTTTCTGTAAGTGTCTTGAAAATAGTGTGTAAGCAGAGAACTTCTCTTAGCAGCCCAAATCCAGAAAGTTTGTCCTTAGCAGCCACCAGGGAATCCACTGTGGGCTGCGGTTTTTGGGGACAGTTCTGCAGGGATTGAGGACATATCTGCTCAAAGAGCCTATTTCACACATTTTGGTAAAACCAACCAGTGTTTTGCCAAGTGTTGGTGAAATGATCACTTGTCTATTGCAGGATTAGGGATTCCGGGTCTGCTTTTCTTGGTAGACACCCCTAGTGCATGAGCTCCAGTGTCGTGTGCCTGAAAAGCACCTGTAGAGCCCTGGTGGCCCTGAGATGTCCTCTGCCATCCCGGGTGACCGCTCGCTCTTCTCTTCCCGTCCTCCTTCTTTCCAGATGTAGGCTGCAAACATTTGGGTTGTTTTGATTTTGCAAAGTTGTGTGCACTTCTATTTTGCTTTTTAAGACATAAATATCCCCTCTTCTCTTCAGCTTTTTCCCTTTGGCCGCTTAGGATGAAATTTTCACGGTAGGGTGAAATTTGCTCTAGCAACTCGTGGTACAGGACCTTTCAGCTAATCCGTTTGGTTCCTGCAGTGGAAGAGTTTGTAACTGGAGTCGTGCTGGGCTGATTTAAGATAAACACTGAAGAGTGGCCTAGTGTTGAATCAAAAGGTACATTATGAAATTACTCTGCTTCCTTCTTCGTGAGATGTTTAAGATGAACAGATACCAGAGTCAGCTTAGAGAGAGCATGACAGAAACCCTGCATTGATATTCGAGTCCAGTGTCAAATGGCCATAAACCGCGGCTTATACACTTATTGCAGGAGTCAAATGTGGGAAAAATAAAGCAGACCTGCAAGGAGTGGGATTGTGCGTAACATTTGCTGAGTTTTTCCTTTGGTATTGGCCATAATTAGCTGG